GAACAATGTTCGTGTTCGTTCGTTTATTTTTCGAGCAAAAAATCGTGTTCGAGTTCGTTCGTTTAATTGTTCGTAAAAGTTCGAGTTCGTTCGTGTTCGAATAATTTAATACTTTTAAAATATGTTTGATTAACTCGAAATTTGTTCTTTTGAACTCGTTCGAACTCGAAAATAAAAGAATAAAATATAAATATTTTTATATTTTTTATTTTTTATTAAAAATATTATGTAAATATATAAAAAATAAATAAATTTATATTAAATTTTAGTTTTTATTAATAAAAATATTATATGAATATATAAAATAAGATAAAATTATATTAAATTAATGTTCGCGAACATAATCGAACGTTCACGAACGAGCTCGTGTTCGTTCGATTATTAAACGAGCCTAATTTTATGTTCGAACTCGGCTCGATTAATAAACGAACGAGCTTTTGTCGAACACGAACGAGCTCGAACAAGCTTTTGGGAACAGTGAGGATGCGGAACAGTGAGGATGCGGAGCGTGTCCTGACGGGCGGCCCGTACGTGATTGGGGGAGGTTACTTACATGTTCAACCTTGGAATCTGAAGTTCGACGCTAACAAGGCAAAAATTACATCCACTGTTGCGTGGATTCGACTGTCCGGACTGCCAGCTCACCTCTACCACAAACAGATATTCCGAACCATAGGCAGGATTGTGGGGAGAGTGGTCAAAATCGATCAGCAAACAGCTGCCCGCACCCGTGGTAAGTTCGCGAGACTTGCAGTCTTGGTTGACGTCACGAAACCTTTGCGCACAAGCTTCATCATCAATGGGCGTCAACAGAGAATCGTGTACGAAAACCTTCCCAATATCTGCTTTCAATGTGGGCGTATAGGCCACTTGAGCCATGTGTGCCCTCACCAACCGCAACCTACAGACCACAGAGCCAACCCGGAGACCCGACAGACGGCCAACATTAATGACGGTCAATCTCATGACGACACATCAAAGGACAAGTCGGAGGTAACGGGAAACGGGCCTGAGACGGGCTATGGACCTTGGATGCAGGTACCACAAAAGATACGCCAACCATATTTGCGGTGTGATAAGGGGATCGACAGGGGCCAGAGCGCTAAGAATCCGCACACCACCACAAAATCAGGGTCCCGCTTTGGAATTTTGGAAAATGCAGATCTTCGGGATTCCCCCCACTTTGAATTCGGAAGTACCTCTTTGGCAAGCAAGGATAATGCGGCGCCCCAGAAAGAAACTTCTCGATCCTCGGGCGAGACAAACTGGCGTCTTATCAAGAATAAACAAAAAAATTCGGCCCAGACAAGTAGTAGCAGTAGAGTACCTGCTAGTAACCATGTGGAGCATGTTGGGCCAAAGGCCCAAATTGACAAACCTGTGACCACGGCCCACTCTCTCCTTTCTGGACCACAAGAACCCAAAGCCGTTCCACCGCCCAATGCAGGAATCTCAAATAATTTCCAATCTTCGACCCATGCAGGCAATATCTCAGTTGGTGCAGGGCTTGACCCGTCCAAACACCGGGCAATTATCGTTGAGGACGACCAGGATACCTTCCCACCAACCACCGACCCATCTCAGCCTGCAGCCATGGACCTCGCCGACGATGCAGCCATGTCGGAGGGGGAACATGATATTAACCTAGAGGAACCATGGCCGGAAGAATCTCATTCACGGAGGAGACTGACGGATACTGAGGGTTTGACGACATAAACTTCAAATCTCACATATTAAATAAGTTTTTTAAGAGAAGATTATTTAAAAGAGTCTCTATTGTTCGATGCCACTGCAAACGAATCAAGCGGCTCGCGAGCGCTCGAGTCGAGCTCGAACCCATATTTTTCTTTGTCGAGCGACCCAAGATACATGTTAAATTACTAAAATACCTTTTATATATGTTAGCATAGGTCCTTAATAGTAGTTCTACCTTTCCACGAATTGGAGTCGAACTCGAGCTATTGTAATTTTTTATCGAGTCGAGCTCGAGCAGCTAAAAAAAAAATCAACCATGCTCGATAAAGCCAATGTTCAACTCGACTCGGCTCGTTTGCAGCTCTAAATGCCACGAGAAAAAACAACACTTAGAAACATTTTTATTGATTGTAAAGTTGGCATTACAAAGTATATGTACCTACAAATTAAATGTCTCAATCACACAAACACGTTACAAATTATCCATATGGATAAAAACTAAGTGTCACAATCCCACAAATGATTGTTTGGAATACATTATAATTTATATGGACGAAATGTTTGTGTGTGTCTTAAGTAAGGAGGACCACATTTGCCAAAAAGAACATGATGCCTTAAAGAGCAAAGTGCTTGGTTTTGCCAAATTGGAAAGTCTAACCATATCTATCTATGTGGTGTGGCCTTCAATTCTTTCATCGTCATTATACGTGTTTTTAGTACATTCATTTTTCTCCACAACAATTTATTAATGTCCCCATTAGGGCTATCAAATAAATAAAAGATAATTGCATCTTTACAAAATTTTTGTGATAGTAACCATTCATATTTATACATAAGTCCTATGTGATGTGTGTGTCATCAATCCAATCCATTTTGCTTTGTTAATCAAGTTTGGTATCTGGTGCAAATTGTAATTCAGCAATTCTTGAATTTTCTTCGAGTGGAATTCCCAAAATGTACCTTAAGTCTGAGAGAAAGTTGGTGTGGGAGTGAAATTTGTATATTTCAATGAGATGGGAACTGTAGTTTTTGAGAATTGTATTCATTAGAGAAACTGTAACGTTATTATTAAAATATAATACCACTTGTGAGTCTTTCATACGAAATCGAAGTCAAAGCCTACGTAGGCTGGAACAACTCACAAATCGTATTATATTTTAATGAAATCTCACTATGGTGCATCTAGGTTCACCCTTTTACGGTGCGCTTCACGTGCATGTGACCGCACCCGTTTTCCCTGATTCTTTCATGGTATCAAAGTCGGCCTACGTGGGACCTACGATGACGTACCCGATACCCGGCCTGCTCTGTGGCTTGGGTTTCATATAAATGACTCACAATTGAGGGGACGTATTAGAATATCACTTCTCAGCTGTCCAATATCGTTTTATACAAGAAAAATAGGTTTAACTTATAAGTTTAGTGAACTACTCCTCATACTTTCAATTGGTTTTTTTGTTGACGGGACGTATTAGAACCTTTTAGAACCTCACTATGATGCATCTAGTCTCATGGGACCAAGACCGCACTCGTTTCACCCGATTCTTATAGTTGTGAGAGCCAAGAATGTGTTAAGGATTGGTGAAATTATTTACCCAGTCAGAAAGACTACAAATCTCACTAAATCTCACTTTTTTCTAGTTGCCGCAGCCAATATGAATACTAATTTAACTAAAAGATAAACTACAAGCAACACCACTAGGGCTCAAACGAACCGAGCGGCTTGCAAACGCTCGAATCAAAACTCGGCTCGATCATAGATTTTTAAGGACGAGCGACTCGAGATATGTAGTGAATTTCTAAAATTTCCCTTATAAATAAATATTACAATATTTGATGTGTACTTAATGATAATTTTACTTGAAATTCGAGTCGAACTCGAGCAGAACTCGAGCATTTTGATTTCAATCCATCTCGAGCCGAGCTCGAGCAATTGTCTTCTTTTATCGAGTCGATCTCCATCGTCATAAATCGAGCTCTAGCAATTAAAAAGGAAAATCAATGTTGTTTGATAAGGCCAATGCTCGACTCGACTCGTTTGCAGTATTAATCACCACTAACTACTCATCATTCCTGTTAACCTCATCTGCAATATGATATTATCCACTTGCCTATATCAATCATCCTCTAATTTAGTTGATTCATACACAACTCATGAGGAACCTCGCATACCAAGCCAAATTTCAATTCCATTAAGCAAATTCCCAATAAAGGGCCTGCTTCAATTAACTCAAGAACTAATAATAGCACCAACATTCGAAATATATTTTGCTGTAGAAATGTAGAATGGCCAGCATATTAGTCTCTCTTGAGTACAAATGTTTACACGACAAATACTACAAAAGTTATGAAGAATCAAGACATATCTAACGGCCTCGACCACGTCCACGCCCACGACCACGCCCTCGACCACGACCCAAGGGTTTCCCTAAATAAACGGATAATAAAAACATTAGATTCAACTAATGATGTATGATACTGAAATCGAGTCAAAATCTTGGCAAAAAATTTTAAAGAATATCCAATGTTTTATCCCAATTATGAATAGCTCTACTTGTCATTCAAAATTATGAATGTATATCCTTGAGGTCCCTTGAATTTTGAAATTACCTTACCACCTCACGGGTAGTGCTATTTACAAAAGAGAAACAATGTCGAGGGGTGAATTTGTGATTTGGAATAATGATAATTTGGTTTTTGGATAATTACAAAACGCCCATTACTGTTTCAGTACATTTAATAACTACCAAAAAAGGGCAAACTCTTGATATCCAATTTTGTGTTCATGTAAGAGGTAGGTATAATATATTAACATTGTAGAAATAGCACTGTCCATTTTATCTTTTTATAATTTTAACAAGGGGGGTTTTCATCAGGAGTTTATTGTACTTGGCCAAACCTCAATTATTCTCTCTCTCTCTCTCTCTCTCTCTCTCTCTCTCTCTCTCTCTCTCTCTTTTAATTATTATTGAAAGGTTAAAAAACCAGGGATGGTTAGTGCAAGAAATCTAGAGAGCTTACAGCAATTATTAGCTTACCAGCAGTTGGTTTTTTGGGCTTGACCTTTGGAGTTTCTTCCACCAGCAACGTCTCCAGATTTAAGCTGTCAGGAAGAATATAATAGCGGATATTGTTACCTCTTACACTCAGATGATCCATCGTGACTGGGTTTTTTCCCTTAAGAGTAAGCTTTACAGTCTTCAGATGTGTGTTCATGCTGATATCAACACCTAAAGAAAAATTCATACTTTGAACCCGTAAACATAATAGAAGTTCCGCAAGAAACTTTGCATCATGGAAATAGTTATATTACGTAAAGAGAATGTATCAATCTCAAATGGAGAGAAATAATACAACATAGGACTTCTGATTCTAGGTCTTTGGTAGCCGTGAGAAAAAGGCAAACGCATCTTCTTCTGTTTCTAGGACTCTCTATTCTAAAATTTTTAACTAGGAGTAGAATGGTATACGGTAAAGGTGAAAGTATGAGAGGTCCCACGAATTGAAACCCTTGGTAGCTCACTGATTTATTCTGGTGAGAATTCAGATATATAAAATATGTTACTGCAATTGTTTGAATGACTCAGGAACGAATGATGGTGGATCTTCTCTCTGTTCTTGACACAAAAGTGAACACTAATTTAGAAGTTAGAAATTCTCAATGGAATCAAAACTGGAAACAAACAAAACTAACACAAGGATTGATGGCAGGAAGGCATCCTTCTAATCTACTCAGAAGTTATAATATTGAGCTAGCATGTCACCATTACTCCATTAGAAGCATTACCCAATCACTAAAAGAAACTTGTGACAAACAATATTCACGACATGGCGTGGTCAAATTTAAGACGCTTGTCACATTTGACAAAACTCTAGACTAAATCTATATCTATGACTAACAGTGTACAAGCCCCAAAATATAATCGATCCACCAAAAATCAACACTGTATGGGATTCAGTTGCATTAGCATGAATGTAGTTGCCTACTGTCCAATTCTCCAGTACATGCTATACTGGTAATGTATGCAGACTAAACAATCATATGAGCCCACTCCGTGAAATGAAATCCAAAACTCCATAAGGGAAAAAAAACACAGAAAAAAATAAGGATCGTATGATGAAGAAGAAGCACCTGTAATGGTGCCATGAACTACTGTGCCATTCTTCAGTTCAATAGACACAGTCTCATTGTTCAATTTCATCAAAAATCTGCGTAAGTAAAACGCAGCATAAAAGGAAAACTTATGGGCTGCAACTGAAATTCACCACTGATAATGATGAAACGTCAACATTGAAAAAACAAAAATATGAAACACAAACCTGACAAGCTTCATTCTTGCAACGGGGAAGGCGACGGAGCTAGGGTTTAAGCCGATGCAAGACACTATGAGAAGAGAGGCTTTGAGAGCGATGGTAAACTCAATGGTAGATTTTGACGAAAGAACGACGTCGTCTGTTGAACAGATGAAGGAAAATGTTTGGGCCATCATTGGGAGTTGGGACTAATGGGCTTACACTCATTGTACTAGGTCCATACAAGTGTTAATTAAAACAATTTTTCTTTTGAAAAAAAATAAAATAAAATAAGGTAAAATTTTGTGTATATTTAAAGTTTTCAAAATTGTGTATTATTTATTATCTTGTTACTTATTCGTTTCATATTATTTTTAAAAAAAATATCATAAAATAAATTTTATTTATGAAATTAATTATTATTCGAATAAAGTTGATAACGATATAATTTTTTTTTCTAAAGAATAAGATAGATATATAATATTATTTTATTATATATATAGTATATGGATATACGAGTTTCAAATAAGAATAATTAAAAAAACAATTAATTTAATTTAATATATTTGATAACAAATAAAAACATAGTTGAGTTTTATTATATTTACAAAACTTGAAAGAAAATATATATATTCTTAAGTTTTAAATTATATTTATAATTTATGTTTATCATATATTCTATAATTTTAAAAATCGTAATCACATATTAACATATAATAATATATATAATTATAGGCAAAAACAAATTATGAAAACATATTTTTTAGGTTAATGATGGTAATAAAGCGTGCATTATATATTGGTTATGTAATAATGACATTTTTTAACTAATGTATCATATTATACTTACTATTAAACGTAATTAATTATAATTTACATTAAATGGTATACAGAAATTACATAAATATCCTCCCTGTATATAATTCCCGAATGCGCTGAGCCTACGTGGTTGCTTCTGGTGCTTTGGATTCCTACTTGGCGAAGAATCAGGTTTTGTAATTAAGTTTGGACAAATAATATTGATATATTAATAATAATTAATCTAGGTTCGGACATTCCATAAATATTACTTATCTAAGTTAGGTATTTTAATATCACTTATACTAATATAACCTTTTAATTATTTGTAATTTTACATAGTGAGGCACTAAGTGACTAATATATCCATGACTTTGATTTTTTTCATTCAATTAGCTAGGAATTGTAAATGTATTTTAAAAGTTGATAACTTTTGTATTTCTTATCGGTTTAACATATATTATATATCAAATTAATCATCTTTTGATGATTTTTAAATTTACATCCATATTGTATATATGAAGTAAATAAATTTTATTTATTTTTATAATAACAAAAAATAATAATATTTATTAAAATTCATTAGGAAAATAAAATTATTTATCAATTGATATATTCATTTTTAATGTAGTTATATGTTGTAAGTTAAAAAATTGTCATACTAAATATATAATAATATATATATTTTTGCAAAAGTTATTTAAATTTTTAACTATTTTTCTCATTAATTTTAGATTTTAAGAAAAAAAAATTCAAGCACCCGTGTAATACACGGGTGTTGTACTAGTATAAAAATATATTATTATTTTTTTAAGTTATTTGTTGTAAAATCAATATTATGTTTTTCATTTCATTAAGATTTTTTTATTTAAAATAAACTAATAAATTCTAGTGATATAATCAAACCTCTTAAAATTGCATAAATAATTAATATAATACAATAATTTTAGATACTTCTTAAATTAATAATCATCATTAAAAATTATAAAATTCACATTATTCAATCAAACATCTACATAACAAATACACAAACCAACAAACAACAAACCACGCAGATTATTACATATGCATCCATTTATTCCAAATCGTAGTCAATAAAAATCTCTCTCTACACACTGGTCGTGAAATTGAAATTTGCGCACGTGGTCCGCCTTCCTAGCAGCGTAGAGCTGAACCCCATCCTCGACCTCGCCAAATCAAACTCCACCAAATTATCCTCCAACTGATACCCGCCGATAACCACCGCCGTCCTCGGCCCCGACCCGCCGTCCACAAACCCAAGACACATCACCCGCTCGCTCACCTGAACCATCGAGTTCGAACCCGTTATCGTCCAAACCGGCCCGTCACTCCCCGCCAGCGCCAGCTCTATGTAAGGCACCGCAGGCCCCACCCTCGTGCTACCCACATTCTCACTCCCGAAGCAAAACCCGAACCGCCCCACCCCCGCCACCCGGGTTATGTTCCGGGCCGCGGCCGCCTGCACGTAGGCCGCGGTCAAGGCCCGGTAGATCGAGCTCTCGAGCACCGTGTATGGGTCGACCGTGCTAATCTTGGTCCCCCCGTTGCCTTCACCGTCAATCGTGAGTAGGGTTCGGTTGATCGGGATTGGCGACCCGTTTACCCGAATCGCATCCACGCGGATGAAATACTCGGTCGAGGGCTCCCCTTGCACGTAGGCCGAGGCGGTGCTCACCGGGTTAAGGTACAATGGCGTGTAGCGTAGCGCGGCGGATGCATCGATTCCCGGGAGGAACCGATACGGGCCGGGCCCAAAGAAAACCGCTCCGCGCGCGCGGCTCGATCCGGAGAGGCAGACGGCGAACGTGCGGCGAAAGCTAAACACGGCGGCGAGTTGGGACGGGAGCCCGATCCGGGCCCGGCCCAGGCCCGCTAGGCCCGTCGCGCCGCGGGCAAGGCCCGCGAGGAGGAATGTCGGGGCGCACGAGAATAAGAGGCGGGGTGCGGTGGCGTTTGGGCCGAGGGTCGACCCGTCGGTGGAGGGGAGGGAGACGACATCCTCGGCAAGCTCACCACCGGTAGCGGTTCGGGTGAAGGGGTTGTCGGGGGTTACGCCACATGTGTCGTTATTGCATCCGGGCCGTGGCCCGTTAAAACAGTCGCCACACGAGGTGTACCGAGCGAGGGAGCATTGGGCCGATCTGCAGCGAACGGGTCGATACGAGGAGGAGACGTAGTTAGTGTCGCAGTCAGCCCAGAGGAAACCGCCTCCGAGGTGGACGGCGAGGTTTACGGGGACGAGCGGCGTGCGTTGGTGGATTGTGGTGAGGTACTGAAGGGTAGCGGCGTCTTTTCGCACTGGGAGGACCAGAGCAGCTGGTCTAAATGAGGGCTGAGCGCGGGAAATGGAGACCAATAGGAGCAAAGATGAGATGAATATTTGAAGTGAGGATGACATGTTTAATTTGGCAAATGTAATAAAAGTAATTGGTGTGGAGAAATGAAATTGTGGATTGGTGTGTATTTATAAAGGTATGTAAAATGTTGGCTGTGGTGCTATATTTGGATAAGGCTTAATTACGTTATGTCAAATGTCAATTTCGGACAACTCAACCAAAATCTCTAGGTGTCGGTGTCGATCGATGTTGGACTATTGACCAAAAATTAACGTGTTGTTGTTAATTTGTGCATAAAAGTCTTAATGTTGATTAGAGAGATGCAAATTTTATTTTTGTCACGCAACTAGCTAGCTAGCTAATGTGAGTTCAGTTAATATGAGTTTAAAATGTCAATAAAACATTTGTTTGCTCGTATCATTATTGGAATAATATTATATTTTTATCTTATCCTATCTTTAATTCTTCTCTTTTTAAGAAATTTGCATATTTAGCAATTGTACATGACATGATGTAAATAAATATTTATATATTGTTCAATGATTTTGTGATTCATCATAATACTAATTAATAGTAAGAAAATTAGTTTACATATAGTAAGAAGTATAATTTTACGTAGGCCATCTACATTTGCAGACAGCTAGCTAGCGGCCGCTTCATTTGATAATGTTATCTTTATTACTGGTCAAAAGGGGGTATCGTACACGGTTTTAGGTCAAACTATATATATATATATATATATATCATTACTTTAATAATTCGAGCATAAGATAATTATGTGAAACAATATTAATTTGACCAATTCAAAGATATATGAAGGATAGAAAAATTCCTAATTAATTTTATAAAGTGAACTGATATAGCAGAAAGAATGGCGCCTCAATAATAACGGTTTATTAAATGACCTGCTTGAATTTAAAGTAAATAATACAGCATTAAAAGGTAATAGTGATGGGTGTCGAAACCAACAATAATAAATTTCTACTCGTCTAAAATATAAAATTGTAGTAGAAATGAGTAGGTCGTATCCACATAGATTGGATGAAATGAATTGATGCAACTATTTCGCGAAGGAATAATAAATAAATAAAAAGATGGGGGGGTTTTGATATGTTCAATCTACCTAAAATAATAAAAATGCAGTTCAATAAAAATAAAAACAAAAAGGAAAGATTTCAGATTTAAATAGAATGAATAAAGGAGATGAAATATCCATCCAAAGGAAAGATTCGTAGAAATGGTTCAATGATACGATCATAGATGCAAAGATAATTTTCATACTCTCAATTAAACTGGTTATGGTTATTGGTACGACCTAATAACCTATCATTCCTTACTTGTTCGATAATCAGGATACGATAACTAATTATTTCTCCAATCAACAGACAATCCTAGATACGATAATAGGATTTAATCTATCAACAGCATTGAAACCTAGAAGGACCACCAATTATAGCCAACAAACACACATGTAGGATCATTTAGACTATATCATATATCTCCCTAAACATAAAATAAAAAACCCTTAGTAATCAACTATGTTCTCTGCCACTAATATTAGAACAATCAAACAATTACAATTGGTAATAAACGCAAGAGAAATACAAATAAAAGAGAATAGGGAATTGAAAACTCAATTAGATCTCACAAATCATGAATAATCCTTTGGCTAGAAAAATAATTTAGCTATCCATAAACATGGTAGTATTCTCCATAAAATTCATCCTAAAAATAATAAAAACAGTAAAAATAAAATAACGAGAAGAAGAACTGTCTGTCGTGCGTTGCCGCGTTCAAGCCGATCTGGCAGATAAAAAAACTCTGTTCACGTCGAACTGAAGGAGAAAAGAAAGAGGAGAGAGAAAAAATAATACCTAGCACTCTAATTTTCAGTCTAATCCTAATTCTAGAAAAATGTAGAAAAATAATATTCTCTCTTCAAAATATCCTAATAAATTAAAATAATCCTTAAATAAATGAAAACTCCATAAAGTCTTTTATTTTTTTTTTTTTCCAACTTGAGACTCATTCCATCTTCCAACTCTTGTAGGAAATTAGCGTGCTCACGCCTTAGCTCAAATTCGTCTTTTTCGCCCTCCAGTCATCATAAATTTTAAATTCCGATATATTCTACAAAAATTATAGAAATCAATTAAAATAAATAATTAAGCTCAAATAAACACCGAAAAAGTATGAAAATATGACAATTAACATGCCAAGAATACGACTTATCAAATAGTAAGGCTTTGTGAGGTAAGCACGTTTCATAGGCTTCAATTATTAAATATTGTAATTTTTTAACTAATAAATCCTAGAGGGCTTATTTCAGCCAATCCGAGCACTTTGTGTTTCATCTCGTGCTCGTTTGATAAATGAGTTGGATCGACTCGACTCATTTAAGAAATCTAAATTCGTATTTTTATGCTTATAAACATGGGAGATGCTACGGTTCCGTTACGGGACCATTCCGTTAGAATTTGCCACCGTTAGATCAACTATCTCTGACGGTTACTTGATGATCTAACGGTTACAAATCTCGATGGAATAGTTTCGTAACGGGACCGTAGCATTTCCCTATAAACATATTCAACTCGACTGCTTGTTTGAAGCCTATAATATATATAATTAATGAGTTGTTTACGAACAAAGCCCCCACTATATCATTTAATATTTATCATTCTAATTAATTATTAAATTCATACACTTTCCCCTCACAAATCACTTAGTATTTACCATTCTAATTAATTATTAAATTCATTCACATTCCCCTCACAAAACCATAGCCCCTATAGAGTGTGTTTCTAATTAATTATTGGAGATTGCACCTTGTTGATTCAAATGAAAACTCATGCATGTGATGGATTCAATTACATTACGAAAAGATAAATACACCACATGTTTTTTTCTTACCTCAACAATTTACTAGCTATTAATATAATGTTATTACAAGCCACACAAATATGATAAAATAGGAAATTTGATTTGATCTTCATAATCTAGGCCGACCTCGAGCCACATTCGAACGTAACTTCGCACTCGTAATTGACCACGATAGTGTAATTGTGTGTGAGTTTCGAGAGAAATATAGGCAAATGCGTTAGAACATTACACGCGCATACATTATCCACTTCTTTTAGCCACCGGCAACATTCCTCCTCCACCGGAGTCACCATGCCGTTGTCATGCCTCTTGTGGCGGCGGTGGGCAGTGTGGTGGTGGTGGACCGGTGGTGACGGTGGCCCCACGGACCTGTAAGGTACAAGTGCACACGCACGGTTTGCCTGTGTTGATAAATGCCAACTATATCAAGTCACGAACCAAAAAAAACAAAGAAAAAAACTTTAAGACGTTCGAAGAAAGGAAAATGAATATATATATATATATATATATATATATATATATAAAGAAAAAAGAAATCTCCATTGCTCTATTATATAGTAATTACCAAGGTAAACTGATTGTTACAGAGTGGAGTAGAGGGATCCTGAAGCGGATTGGGCGGGTAAACGGATGGGATTTGTGGGTGACGTGGCATCCAAAGGCAGTCGGTCGACTTTGGGTGCAATAACATGATCATTAGGAGAATAGTGAAGATTAGCAAATTTTGGGCAGCAATGGGTTTGTTCATGTTTGAGAAACTAATTGTACTAGTATAACTCTTTCTTGTAAGAACAAAAGGTAATTAAGAGAAGGTTGTGAGAGTTTTGGTATATATATGGGGATTGTAAATTCTTGTTACATGCATCTTTATATATATATATATATATTTATGTGTGTTGGTGATTTCTTGATAGTTGCATGCACAAGCTTGTCATGTTTCTTTGATAAAAGAAAAATTAATTATATATTTTGAGAGATAGGGGCAAGAAAATGAGTTGAGTGATTATAAATTGATTATTTTGTTTGTTGGGATTAAGATAGTTATTAGGATTAATAATGGATCATTCATTCATTCTCTTTGTGTGAAATATTAATGTTGTTT